ACGCTAGGGCCACAGAACAACTCTGCATTTACCCAGGATATGTGAGATTAAAAGCATCACATTCAAAGCGGTCCTTCCAGGCTCTATGTTTAAATGTAAGATAACAATAAACCATAATTCTCCATCTCAAGCCTTTTCAACAGTTGGGAAGCCAGAGTAGATTGAAATGCTCACAAATAAATGGTTGATGAGTTTGATAAATAGCACTAACATTTACCGGAGACATGAAAGCTTTTGTTAAGAATACTATGTGATCAAAGGGGCTTTTGCACAGATCACTGCTAATCTTGCTGGGAACCAAGAGAAAGCTGATTCAGACACACGGAGACATTTAACTGCCAACGGAATTCCTTTATCTAAACAGCTACAAGAAATAATCAAGTCCTCAGCTGGGTCACTTCTACAAAAGTGGGTTTGTTTGTAAGATGCAAAACATCAGACACTGGAACGCTGTCAAAAATAATATACAAATATCATTTATATACAAATATGGAGAATACGGGTTGGAATACAAGGAGGCTTAGAAGTAGGGTTCCTGAGGAATTAAGTTGTTTATCAAGTGAGTCCAGGCAAGTTGCATTTAAAGTAATCACCTCCATTTGTTCTGAGAAAGTTTCCCATATATGGTGATTAAACCAATTCTACAGGATTCATTTATTAAAAGAAAAAGAAAATAGAGAAGTAAATGCAAGGTTTGGCATATTATCACCCAAGTCTTTGCAATAACTAGTTCTGATATAAAGAGAGTGCAAATATCTGAACACTGCATTCGGAGGGAAATAACATTTTCTTTCTATAAGCTAACATCTTAAATTAAAAATTCTATAGTTAGAGAAGAATTCTGCATATTTACAAACAAAATTTTAATTCATGATCTGCATATTCTGATCAAGAGCCTTACCCATGTTAATTTGAATAACTTAAAGACATTGTTAAAAGTACAATAAAGTCTCTATTACTAATTAGAATGTTTAAGAAGGCTGATTTTCCCATGCAAGTTTACATGTTTAATGATGGGGTATCTTTTAGCAAACAGCTCAGCATTGGCTTTAGGCAGAGTTGCAGGTGGACTGTGATCAATTTCAAAGGTTGGGAAGAAAACTTCAAAAAAAACATATATTTTTAAAAAGGCACCTCCTAAGTATTGGTACAATTATATACTGTAAAATTATTTCTCCAGGTTTATGCAGAAACAATTGGCAACTGTAAGGCTTCTTTACTTTGGCCTTTGCTGTAATCTAACTTATTTCTTCCTCCTATCTCTATCTCTGTCTCTGTCTCTATATCTATCTGTCTTAATCTCAGGTTTAATTATACAGTATTTGGCTTTGGATTTCACTGGAAAATTGCTTATTTGACTGAATAGCAAATTTTATTATTTACTGAAAGCTGTTTTGGAAAGGTAAAGGTAAAAAAGCAGGGTAGAAATGTCTTTAATAAACACAGGACTACAGAATAAAACACAACTTTTCAGGAGCTCTTTTCACCTTGTCTCAAATGTTATTTCATTATCCTTCTGCTTGTACAATGAGGTGTCTCACTTATAGCTCTATAAAATCCCAAAGCTATTTTAAAGGGTCCTCTCCCTCCTAAGCATATCTGGGGGATGTGAGGCTTGCAGTGAATAGAAGAATCTGTCCTACGAACCCCTGGATGGGCAAGCTGAAGGCAACTTAAAGTTCAGAAACTCATTAAACTAGGCAACATATTGAGGAGCAATCAATCAAAGGAAGTTCACTTAAAGAGATTTCTGACAATAACACAAGTGTTAATTTACAAGTACAAAGTGTTAATGAAAAAAGACTAAAGCAAAGGAAACTTTAAAAAATGGACAATATTTTATTGACATCATATTTCTTCTAATTAACTGATCCTGGTAGGATAAAAAAAAAAATGGAAATATAGCATCTCCTATTTATTGGCTGTAGCAAATGCTGAATAAATAAATCTTTAAAAGGCTAAGAGAAAGACAAACCAGGGTCAATGATGTCCCAAGTACAGGGGCTGAACACAGAAAACTGCTGAAGTGTACGCCGGGAGTATGTAGAAGTGTTGTAATTAGAGGAAAAAACTGTCAACCAAACTCCACAGTTCTAGTCATGGGTTTGTTAATTACATTCTTGTCCCTTTGGTGAGGACACTTCCTAATGAAGAGCGGTCTTTGCAAAGCTAGTGCAGGGGGTTGAAAGCTCTTAGAGATGCTTATCTTGAGGGTTAGAACGCTGCACCTAGGTTTCCATCACTAACACAGAAGGTGGGGGAGGTCGCTGTTGGGGATTAAGAGAGGCAGCAAAGGTCAGGAGCTTTGCTTCAGCTAGCATGACTTTTCAATCCGGCTTAGAAAAACGAGCCTTTGGTTGTTCACACCGCTATTTTGTTTATGGAGAGCAGAGGCTAAATATCTCCTGCAAGGATTTCCAAGCAGTTCAGATCCCCCATGTTCAAGAGTGAAATATCCTTTAATAAAGATAGTGCCTTGATATTTGCTTTTTATGGCTTCAATTCCAGAACAAATAGTGGAACAAAATCCCAGTAAGAGAAACAGGCCTGAAAACACCACCACTTCCCTAACATATCTGTATTCAATTCTAGACCATGTCTTTCTGCTCTAGTCTTCAAAGAGGCTGATTTTAAAACTTCAGTCAAATACAATCAAATGACAGAGAACATAATTAAAATGATTAAAAAGTCCAAATAATTAAAAAAAATCAAAGCCAACAGCAGAATCAAACAGGATGAGAATATTTCAGGAAACCAATGGTAGAAGAGATTCCACTAACAACAGTTCAGGTACAATAAGTACAAGAGGATTACTTTATGCCAAAAAGGAGATCAAAAGGCAATGCCAAGTGAACATCTCTGATTTTTTTCAGGTTCTGGACCTTGCCCACCAAAAAAGAATTTTAAACAATAAAAATGCCAAAATTCTCATGAAAGGGTGGCAACTTCCTACTGAAATTTTGTTAGATGTCGTTTGACAATGCTGTACTCAAGAGCAAATACCTCAATCTCAGAGGAACTGCATTTTAAAGTACATTGGACATCTGGTACCTAAAGGCACTCTGGTATTGGTCCCTGGTCTACAGGAAGCACATTTCATTCCTTGGTTGCCACTACAGGAAGGCCCCATCTCTTATTGCCATTTGCCTAGTCTGTGGAGACATGGGACATCTTCAGCAAGGCCTAAGAGTATAATTTTTGATGCTAATCATTCATTTTTTGTGCATGATCTTGGCTGAAGTTAAGCAGAGAGTGCTTGATTTAGATTTGAAAAGCAACAGATCTATAACTTTGTATCACTTCAGAGATCATGGCAAAACCCCTTATAATACTATTTCTGTTCCTCACAGAAGGGCATTCACAGTGGCAAGATCTGATACTCTATTCCTTGAAAGGTTATGAATAATAACATCCCTTACCAG